TTTTTTAAATATATCTTTATTGATTTCAGAGAGAGGACAGGAGAGGGAGAGAGATAGAAACATCAATGATGAGAGAGTCACTGATCGAGCCCACAACCCAGTCCTGTGCCCTGACCGGGAATTGAACCCCAATTGCCTGGATCCTAGGTCGATGCTCAACTGCTGAGCCAGCCCGGCCGGGCGATACTGTTGATTCTAACCTTTTCTCAGCTTTCATGAGACCACACTCTATTGATTCTCCTATTTCCTGGTCATTTCTTCTTTTTTTTGTTAATTCTTCTTCCTCTATCATTTCAATTTTTGTAGTTTAACTTCTAAGTCCCAAACCCATGTTAGTTCAACGTTAAGTTGTTGAGGAGAAGAGGAAGAAAAAGCAGACTGAGGAGGGATGACTCGTGAGGCAGGAGGAAAACAGAGAGTATGGCTCCCAGAAACCAAGAAAAGAAAGTATGTGTAGGAGGAGAGATATAAGGGAAACAGAAAAATGAGGCATAGCTGGGAATGGAAGTTAAGGCAAGAGTCTCTTTAAGATGGGAGAAATACCACCATGTTCATATGCTGCTAGGAATGACTGAGAAAGAAAAACTGATGGTGCATTTTGATGAGTAGGCAAAAATGGGATCTAGCACACCGATGAAGGAAACAGCCTTAAACAGAGGTTGTACAACCTATGATTCACTTATTTTATCATCTCTTCCAATACTAAAGTGTAAGTCTACAAGGACAAGGGTTTTCGTGTGTTTTATTTACTGCTGTAGCCTGAACAGTACTTGGCAGGTGTCAGACATGCAATGGAGCGGAGAAAAAAGCACAAGTACAGGTAACTTTTTCAAGACGTTTTCCTATAAGGGGTGCAGAGAATGTAGCTGAAGCTGGAGGGGCACGTGAGATCAAATCATTTTTTTTAAAGATGGGGGATATTACAGCATGTTTGTTAGAGCTGATGGAAATGATTCAGCAGAGAAGGAAAACATGATGATGCATAAGAGAGAGAATAAGGCCAGAGTGAGGTCAGTTAATAAAAGGGGACAGATCTAGTGCTGGACTGGAGGGACCGTCTCAAACAGAAGCATGGACAGGTCCCCATTTATAACGTGTGCGTGTGTGTGTGCGCGCGCGCGAGAGAGAGATAGAAATGGTAAGTGGGAACAGGTGAGGTTCTTTGTTTCTGCTTTCTCAAACATCTACATATATAAGTTCATTAGCTGAAGAAAAGGAGTAGGTAGGCTACATTGGAAGGTTGGAGGTTTGGGAGATAAGAATTGCCTTAGAGTGTAGGGGAGTGAATGTCTAGGGTAATAGGGAAGAAGTGTGAATGAATGACTGGAACACCTACGTTAGGTTAGTGGACATGAATTAAAAGAGAGACAATGTGCCATGGTTCCGTTTTCCTCCAGCACTTTCAGCTGCCCTGGGAGCAGGTGTGAAATAGGAAAAATAGTTGTAATCAGGCTGGTTAACAAGCAGGGGTGAAGGATGGGGAAAGGGGCAAAGAAAAATGGCTTATGAAATCTAAAATGGATAAGGTAGGAAGTGAAAAGTGATAGTAAGAAGGCGGTAGGGTCAATGGATTATAGGTCCTGGTAGGATCCAAGAGTTGGGGGAGGCAGGGTTCTCATTCCTCACAAATCTAGTTTAGGACTGCTTTTCTCATTCCCGCAAGTCCTTTCCCGGGAAAGGGTGGGTCAAACCTCTGGATCTCTAAACCACATTCCACTGTGCCTATTCTGTCAGGCGAGTTTTTACAGAAGCGGAAAGCGCGGCTCCCAGTTGCTGCTCCTCCCGTTCGGCCCCCTCCTCTAGGAGTTTAGGGCCGGGCTATCTCTGCGGGCGGCCCTTCCCGAACTCACTGTTTGGACCTTTGTTGGGCGTCCCTAACCGCCGGCGAAGAACTTCTTTCCAGTCCATGACTGACTCCCGCGCAGCAGCTCCGGCATTTGTTAACCGTTACACCCGCTACCAGCTCGGAAGTCCACCATCGGCCTCAGAACGGCTGGAAAGGCCGCTCCACCGCCATCTTGGACGCGGGCGGAAGTTGGCTAAGCAGGCAAAAACGATTAATGTAGTCACTGCGGAGAATACGGCGATCACACTACCAGAGGGGAAAACAGGTGTGAAAAAGACGGAAAATGATGCCCTTAAGGCAGCTTCCCAATTTCACAACTCCAGATTTTAAAGGCGCAGGATAAGGAAGCCGGTACTTTTATTTCCTTTGGCCTATGCACCACGTGACTCAGGAGTCCTTCGGGGTTTCCGGATCCAGGGAAGGGTTTTCTCAGTTCACAATTTCTTTTTATTGTTTCTTGCGGATATATGCAGGCCCTAAAACGTTCCTCTGAATGTAGCAGACGCCTTCACCAGCCCCCGTAGGCAGCCTCTGCCACTAAAAGCTTCAAAATCGCCTTCCTCTCGCCACCAGGCCACGTCCCGTACGGCCACGCCCCCGCGGCCGGGGCCGTCGCGGGGCATTGTGGGCACGGTAGTTTCCGGCGCAGTTATGGTTGCGTTAATAAAGCGTGGGTTCTCCGGTGAGTTGTTGATAGCAGTGAACTTGGTTTGTGATTGATCTGGCCGCTGTAAGCAGAGCCCTTCGTGGACCGACCTCCTTTACCTGAGTTGTTGGCCCGGCTCTCTCCGCACCTCCCCCAACCCATTCCCTCCCCGGGCGAGTTCGGCGGTCCGGGGACAGTTGTCATGCAGGGCCAGGGCTCCTAGACTTTGGCTTTCGCCGCTGCCCTCGCTGCTGCTGGGGCTGGGGGCTCTGGGTCACGGTTTTCGACTTTACGCCCCTCCTTCAGCAACGCACCTTTGGGATCCTACCCCTTTTCAAGGCCAGTTGTGATCCATGCGAGTCGAATCGGGTGGTTCTCCTTGTGCTTTTTCCTCAGGTTCGCGGGCTGGAATATAACAGGCACCGGAGATTCCTGCTCTGTCCCTTGGTTCTTCGGATTGCGACCGAGGTTGGATGTCCCCGGATGTAATGTCCACTGTGTAATGGAGAAAACGCACCAGACTTAGTTGCTATTAGGTAGCCCCAAAAGCAGAGCTTTGGTTTTTGTTAGAAACTGAAAATCATCTTTTAAAAAGTTGCGCTGCGACTCCTCGCCTCCTCTCCCCCATTCCTAAATTACGCTGTAGAAGTAGGGGCTTTTGGAACATCTCTTCACTATCTTGTGCTGATCTCACTGCATAATGACTTTCTGTTTCACTGGTATTAGAAACTTTCCTAAGCTTTGGAAAAACAACCCATACCTTGTAGTAGGCCCAGGACACTTTTATAATTCTCTTTTTCTGAAAGACTATAATGGCATCAGGAACCAACAGAAGTTGTTTTCTCTTAAAACAGCATCTCCACAAAATACCAAAGCAATGAATCTTCTGACTGCCAAGACCAGATATCGCAGGAAAGAAGATGAGGGCAGTAATAAAGTTTCTTCTGACTTTCCTCATCTTTTTGCAGCTGGGGCAGCTAAGAAGAGATCACAAATGAATCCTCAGAGTAAAGATCACGCCTTGCCGCCTGAGAGGAATGTTATTCAACTCCCAACAAAACCTCTGAATTCAGAGCAGTGGGATAAACTTAAAGAAGATTTCAAAGGAAAAGCTAATTTTGAAAATTGGGTCATTACACAGATGGCTCACCACAATAGCTCTATAGATGTGGCCAAATCTTTGCTGGCCTGGGTAGCTGCAAAAAACAATGGTATTGTAAGCTATAATTTGCTGGTCAAGTATTTGTATCTTTGTGTCTTTCATAAGCAGACATCAGAAGTTTTTGACGTCTATGAAATCATGAAAGCCAGATATAAGAGTTTAGAATCTGGAGGAAGCACTCTTCTCATCCGGGGGTTAATCCATTCAGACAGATGGAGAGAGGCCTTGCTGCTGTTAGAAGACATAAAAAAAGTCATGACCCCTTCCAAAAAGAACTATAATGATTGTATCCAGGGAGCCCTCCTTCATCAAGATGTAAACATAGCTTGGAATTTGTATCAGGAATTGTTAGGTCATGATCTTATTCCTATGATGGAAACTTTAAAAGCCTTCTTTGATTTCGGAAAAGACATAAAAGATGATCAGTATTCAAACAAACTAATAGATATTCTTTTGTATCTAAGAAATAATCAACTATATCCTGGGGAATCATTTGCACACAGTATAAAAACATGGTTTGAGAGGTAATTTTGATTTTTCTTTTTATGTATGTTTTTATTTTAATACCTGTACTAAAAGTAGCCTCCTTTTTTTATTGGTTGCTGAGATTGTTTATAATACCTTTCCCATCTCTTAGTAAAATTTGTTTCCCGTTAAGACAAAATTTTCTATTTATAAAAAAAAGCAGCATATACAAGTGTTAATCTCTACTCATCACATAAAAGGGAAATTAGAATTTGTAGTTTTTATGTATTTTTCTGTTTAGAAGGATCATTTATTTTGCTTTCTCAGGTATCGGGCAAGATGTAAGTACTTACGAATAGCACTTGTGGCTGGAGTTCATAGTAAGAACACTAGAGCTGTCTTTGGGTCATATTACTATTTTCAGAAGTTCTGAAACCTAGTAGCTGGTATAATGTGCATATATATACATATATATATATATATATGTATATATATTCTGTTTAACCTATGCATTTTGTCAACTTGGATAGTTAGAGTGGGGGGGGGATCCTGATCAAACCTGATAGGTAAGCATTAACATGGAAAATCTTCATCCTTCCAGTTCATTTTAGATCTTTCCATCATTCAACTGCTCTCCCCAAGGCTCTCCTTCATTTTTCCTTTGCTTTTATTCATGTTACTGGCTTTGTGCCTATTGATTGCTTCAGGCTTTTACTTTCTTATTTCTTCATCATTAATTTGCTTCAGGCTATTTCCTAAAAATTTAATCCTTTTCTCTCATTTTTTTCTTGCTTTTCTACTATATATCAGAGCTTTGAAGTAGCAATCAAACTAAATTATCTTATTTAAGAAACTTATTGAATATCAACAGAAGAGCTAGATTGTGAAAAATCTTTGACTGTCAAGGATTTTGGATTTTATTCTGTCATCAAGAATGTTAGTCTTGGAGTGGAGTTTTAGAAAGGTAACTGCCAAAACAAGTGAGAAAAGAAGATTGGAGAGGGATTAAAATTGGAAACAGATAGGTTTGGAGGCAATTATAGGTTTGAATGAGAGATGACGAGATTCTGAATTAACTGAAGGAGAGAAGGCAATAGAATCAATGGAATCAAGGTAATATATGTAAGAGTAAAGAAGAAATAAGTTGATTGAGCAAATAAGTATTTTGAATGCCTCTAATTAGGCTAGGCACTGAGGATGTTTTGTGATAGAAGATCTATTATTATGGCATTCACAATTGGGAATGCAGTACTTGTCAGTTAAATAATAGTGGTATAAGATAGTATAAGAGAGGAAGTTACTCTGGGCAGAAACAATCTCTGACAGCTTTATGGAGAAAGTTAGAGTTGAGTTTAATTTAGAAGTTACACTTGATATCAGCTGCTCTCTGTACCGGTCTTGTGAAGGTAGATTTAGACTTGAAGCTGAGGGTCAGATGACCAGAGAAGTGAAGGGAAAAAGATCCAGAGTAGGGTAGGGGTACCATCAGCTCCTTTGCCCCATTACAGGATATCTACCAGTCTTCTAATTAAACCTTTGTAGGGAAGTAGTCTGAACTTTTCAGAGCTTTTGCCTACCGAGTTTCTAAACTCCAGATTCAGTAGGAATTGGAACTGATGATTTGGTTTTGCGACCTTTTTTTGTAGTGTTCCTGGAGAGCAATGGAAAGGACAATTTACCACAGTCCAGAAAAGGTAAGGCCAATATTTTATTTTTAACTTGTTTGATTCAGGTTTAATAGGCTGTTTTGCTACTGATTGAAACACTTTTTTTCTGAGTACCTTAGAGGTATGATAATTAAGAGTTAAAAGAGTACCCAAGAAAAAAAGGCCATGTTTTGCATATGGAGAATTTGCAGTGTTCAAATTGCAGTGTTTTTCCTGTAGGTACTGTGAGCCTGTGTGAAGCCTCAAATGTTTTCCCCTAGTTGTGTTTTAGAAATAACTTTAACAACTTTATCTGGATGCCCAACAGTCTGCTCTTTTGTACTTTCTGGCACACTAATATGTGATATTATCAGGTTTACAAAAATGTAATGCATATGTTGATCATAATGGTTATAAATCTTTTTTAAAATTATCTTTTAATTTCCTCATGTCTTAGGATTATTCATTTTAGAAAAAGTTCTTTTCCAGGACACTATTTGATACAAACAATTTTAATTACAGTGGTCAGTGTTTGGGCTGTGGAAAAACTATAGAGTCTATTCACCTGAGTCTAGAAGAATATGAATTTCTCAAGAGAAAAATCCTGAGGGATGTGATAGATGGAGGTGACCAATACAAAAAGACGACACCTCAGGTAAGTCTGGACCAGGTTTTATTGCATTCTTGGTGTCTAGAGCAGAGGTTGGCAATTTTTCTCTAAAAAGACAGATAATAAATATTTTAAGCTTTGTGGGCCATACTGTCTCTTTTGCAACTTTACTCTGCTGTTGTGGTGAAAACAGCCACAGACAATACATAAATGAATGAGCATGGCTGCATTTCAGTAATAATTGTATTTATGAAAAGAAGCAGTGGGCTTGATTTTTTTTTCTTCTTTTTTTTTTCAATCCTCATCCAAGGATATTTTTTCCATTGATTTTTAGAGTGAGTAGAAGGAAAGGGGGGAGGGGAGAGAAACATCTACATCAATTGCCTCCTACATGTGCCCTTACGGATGGGGATGGAACCTGCAACTGAGGTACATGCCCTTGATTAGGAATCGAACCCAAGACCCTTTGGTCCACAGGTGGACACTCTCTGACTACTGAGCCAAACCATCCAGGATTTGATTTTTTTTTAATAATGCAGAGAGAAGCAGTGGACTGGATTTGGCCCTCTGGCCATAGTTGCCAACCTTTAAGAGACTGCTTTAGAATTTCATGAAACAGTTGGGTTAGACTATTATCCATCTGTTGAAGTCAGTCCTATTTCATCCTGGCACAAGTGCACTTAAGCCAAAAAGACAGATGCTTATTCTTTGTCTAAGTGCTTCCAGAAAACTATTCAGTAAAGTCCCATGAAAACATGGTTTCTCATAACTTTTCTAGTCAAGGGAGTTAAGATAACAAAATTATTTCCAAGTTTTCTTAGTATTGAATTTGATTCTCTAAATTATTTTATAGCTTTATTTTGCTAGTGTTCAGTACTTGATGCTGGTTTACTAAGATTAAGTTGAAGTAAAATGCTGTTATCTTGGGGAAAGGCTGCCCATCATCTCACTGAATGCTTTTTCTCTAAGGTACTAAATAAAAACAGCGAAAATTGTTCTGCCTTCTCACCTTGACTTAAAATTGTCAGATAATGCCCCCAGATTATTTGAAAAGCTTTAATCCTGAGAATAAAGTCAAAATCTGGTCCATATAAACATTACCTCCATTTTATGGAATACCTTTTATCAATACCTTTATTGATAAAATTATAGTTAACATTAAGTGATGCTAAGTACTTTACATTCATTATCTTATATCTTATTTAACCCTTACAACCACCCTATATGGTACTATTTCTATTTTACAGATAAAGTGATTGAGACTTTGGGAGACTAAATCTGCTAGAGTATACTTTGATAATAAAATCTAGGTTTGACCCCCAAAACCTCTATTGTTACACTCTACTGCCTCTCATGGAATGAAAAGTTACAATGACAACTATAACTGACAGCCAACTGGTTGTAGCAGCTCTTTAATACCTTAGGAATTTCTGCCAGCTAAAATATGAATTAAATAGATTTCCTTTCTCTTATCAAACATCTTTTGAGCACTTACTTGTATCTTTTGAAGTAGGTGTTAAGGTAGATGCAAGGTTGTATGAATTATACAGTTTGTTACCGAAACTTACCATTTCTTTTGCGGACTAATTGAATATTCTTCCCACCCTCCAATTTTTTATTTAGTATAATTTTCAACCTAAAGGAAAACGAAAAAAAAAAAAAAAAAGCACAGTGGACACCTACATACTCTTCATCTAGAGTAACATGTTGTTATTATGGCTTATGTGCTTTCTCTCTATATACGTAATTTTATGAACCATTTAAAAATAAGTTGTAGATGTGTTACTTTAAATGTTTCAGCAGATATCTTCTAAGAATAAGAAAATTCTTTGTAATTAAAAACCATTATCACATTTAAGAACCTTACTATTAATTCAGTGTCATTTAATAAAAAGTACATATTCAGATTTTCCCAGTTGTCCCCCCAAATTGTATTTTATAACTTTCCCTATCTGATCCAGGATTCAATCAAGGTTTACTCATTGCTTTTGGTTGTTATGTCTCTAAATCCATAACAGTTCCCTCTGCCTTTTTTTGTTTTTATAACATTGACCTTTCTGAAAAATCTGGGTGGTTTATCTTGTACAGGGCTTTTCAAACTTTGCACCTATGAATCACTTGAGGATCTAGTTAAAATGCAAATTATGATTCAGTTGTCCAGAGTGGGGCCTGAGATTCTGCATTTTTATAAGATCCCAGGTGATGTGTTTATGGTCTTTGGACCACATATTAAGTAGCAAGACTGTGGGCTAATTGCTTGATTATTTTCTTTTCATTAATTCAGTATGAAAACGTTTAGGTAGACTACAGGGATGATGCCGTGCGCTTCTTATTGACTCACAGCAGCCATATACTATCAGGTTGTGCTCATTCTTGCTGATGTTACATTTGATCACTACACTAAAATATCTCCATTGTAAAGGTACATTTCTTCCTTTATAATTTCCTTTTGTAATTTTTCCCTTTGTAATTAAAATTAAGTGATCCATGGAGTAATACTTCAAGACTCTGCAGCTGTCCTGTCACCCATTAACTCTTCACTCAGTGTTTTTAGAATCATGGAGATGCTGCCTACCTTTGGAGGTTGCAAAGCGGTGATTATTTTATTTCCTCTGCATTTATTAGCTGGCATTATTGTATAAAAGTTTTCCCTTTTTCTCTCTTTCTCTCCCCATCCCCCTTTAAAAAAATTATCTGTATGAACATGAGGACTTTTTTAAAATTTAATTAACGGTGATAGAATTCCTTACCATCATTATTCTTTTTGATGTTCAAATTGTTCCAGATTTGGCCTTTGGGGAACTCCTTCAAGCCAATTCCTGTGTCTTTTACATCTCTCCTGCCACCCCCATCAGTTTTTCCTCCCATTCAGTTTTTGAGCACTTCTATGCTTTCTGACACAACATGTCCTAGGCTCTCACCTTGAAGTGCTCCTGCCCCAATTGTGGAATCACTAATTGAATACTTTTGTTTAACACTCTCTTTTGTGGTTTTTCNCCCTCATCATGAAGCCCAAACTTGTTTTTTTTTCTTATTTATTCATTTTTATTGAATTTATTGGGGTGATACTGGTTAATAAAATTATATAGGTTTCAGGTGTACAACTCTATAACACATCATCTGTATATTGTATTGTGTGTTCACCACCCCAAGTCAAGTCTCCTTCCATCATCATTTATCCCCCCTTTACCCTATTCTA